TTCAAGAGTCCTACATTGTGACTCATTAGACACTCAGACACAGATTATCCGTCTTACTCCTCCCACCACCCACCTCTCCCACACCCACTCTTCTCTCAAGTGTACACTCTTTAGTGTTTTGTCATCGCCACAGCACGCTGACGCTGAAGTCGACGATGTGACTGTGAGCGCACGCGGTGCATGTTGGGAGCTCAGGCCAGCTTCCTGAGGAGGCAAAGAGAACGAGAGGCTGTCATCGAGAGAGAGATGTTACGTAAAGCCTCTCGCAGCACCATGTTTAACCCAGTTCTGCTGCGTGAAGCCGCTCTACTGCACACCAAAACCACTACAGTCCTCCAGCTCACAAAATAAAGCCTCCAAAGCAGGGTTTTCACAGTGATGTTGTCATGTGGAAGAACCATTTTTCGGCCAAAATGCATAAAAGGTTTTTCCTTTTCAGTTGAAAACGGTGTCATGTAAACGCCCCCTTTCTCAGCTTCTGTGTTCTTATCTCATCTTCAGGACAACAGAGCAATAAATATCCATATATAATACACAGCTAATGTAACCTTTAGAGATCACTTGTCCTATTTCCCAGCTTTCTTCTCACATCAAAAAAAAAGACTTAGCAGCAGCTGCTGAAATGTGACGTGCCCGACTGGGATAGACTCCCATCAGATTGCACATATGCAACATCACAGAGAGACGCTAATAATGTGGAAACCACCGTTACATGCCTCCATGCAGTGTTCAAATCACATACGTGTTCGGCTGATTGGCAATGTAGAAATAAAATAAATCATTCATTTTAATGCCGTATTAATCATTTATTTTCATTATGTATGTCAGTGTGAGCTAAATCATGTGTTTGGACATTATAATCATCATTCTGGGTTAACCTCTAATTTACATATTTAAAAAGCATGAATATTTAATTAAATAAGCATCATTTAGTTTAGCACTGCACCTCGGGCAGGACTCATAAATGTGAAACATTTCTTATTCCAGAGTGTAAACTGTATTAACCCAGAGTTTAAAAAAGGTCAAATGGTTAATTTTTCAATATATTATGTAATTATCCTTTAATTGGATAACATATGCTGTACATGCACTGCAAAAAAAAAAAAAAAGATTTATCCAAGTTAATAAAACAAAGAAAATTGTGCTGCATTCACATTGTCCAAGAAAATATTATTGTTTCTTTGTAATTATTTGAAATTGACCACAAAATCCTACACAATTTTTTTCCATGTTTTTTCACATACTTTAGATAGCCTGTGATGTCACTGATTGGCTGTGTGTGTGTGTGTGTGTGTGTGTGTGTGTGTGTGTGTGGGAAGCAGCCGGTCTGATTCCTGTGCTCTTGGGCATCATTTCCATGGTCACTGCTGTATCGCTGTACCAACCCCCTTCCCTTCAGCCAGTCCTGAAATAGAGAATGAATTATAATAGTTGGCTGTGTTGGGGGAGGGACGCTTCATGTGTGTGTATGTGCATGTGTGTTTTAGGACCCCGTGGTCTGTGTAGAGATCAGGTGGGGGGAGGGGCAGTGTGTGTGTGTGTGTGTGTGTGTGTGTGTGTGTGTGTGAGGTGTACCAGTTTAGTCTGCGCTCGTGCCAGCTTTAGTAGACCTGTCTGTAATACATTCAAATACAAATGTTCGCTAAAAACATCTTTTGCACAAGAGTATTTGGTGAACGAACAATGAAACAAAACAGAAACAATGAGATATAAATAGGTTTTTACATTTTCCACAGAACATTTGAGTGATTGTTGACCTTTTCCATGCAAAAGTTTGTGGGAGTTACATGCCAACTCTTAATAATTAGGATCAAACCCCTAACACTATGAGCACTACCCTTGTGAAAAAGAAGTACACTTCAGCCCATTTAGAGTACTGTTAAAAAATATATATAATATACTGTTAAAATATATACTGTATTGGGGTTCACCCAAAAATACAAATTCTGTCATTAATTACTCACCCTCATGTCGTTCCAAACCCGTAAGACCTCCGTTCATCTTTGGAACACAAATTAAGATATTTTTGATGAAATCTGACAGCTTTCTGACTCTCCATAGAGAGCAATGCAACTGAAATGTTCGACGCATGCGTGTCCATTCCTCTGCTCATAAACAAGCCCTGCAGCTGATGATGCACAGTGGATAAGAATTGTTAAAAAGTCGTTATTTTTGTTTTCTTTGCACACAAAAATATTCTCATAGCTTCATAAAATTACAGTTGAACCACTGATGTCACATGGACTATTTTAACGCAGTGCTTACTACATTCCTGGTCTGGCAACATTTCTGTTGCGTTGCTGTTTATGCAGGGTCAGAAAGCTCTCGGATTTCATCAAAAATATCTTAATTTTACGGGTTTAGAATGACATGAGAGTGAGCAATTAATGACAGAATTTTCATTTTTGGGTAAACTATCCCTTTAAGTATGCAAATGTGAAACATTGCTAATGATAAATTTAAATATCTATTCATTTCTATTGAAACTTGTATGTGAAGTATTTAAATATTTTTGCAATTAAGCATTTGTAATGAGGAATTATTACATTTAAAATATATTAACTTTAAATGTAATATTGAATAACACACTACACTTAATCAAGCATTTTACATGTGCTTTAGTATGTTATTCAACACATCAAAATAAGTGTACAGTACTTGAATGAATGGATGAATGAGGCATTTATATAGCACTTTATTGTGTATTGCTGTACACCCAAAGTGCTTTACAATCATGTGGGGGGTCTCTCCTCAACCACCACCAGTGTGCAGCAGTGTGCGCTCACCACACACCAGCTACAGGTGGAGAGGAGAGAGAGTCATAGAGCCAACTCAATGAATAGGGATTATTAGGAGGCCATGATTGACAAGGGTCAGTGGTGGCAATTTGGCCAAGACACTGGGGTTACACCCCTACTCTTTTACGAGAAGTGCCATGGGATTGACCACAGAGAGTCAGGACCTCGGTTTAACGTCTTATCTGTAGGACGGTGCTTTTTACAATATAGTGACCCCGTCACTATACTGGTAGTCTTGCATAGCCAGACCTTCAGACTGACGGATCTGGAATCCATGGCAGCTTTTATTGGCCAAGGCCCACCCATGAGGCCGTTTGACGGACATGTCAAACAACCAATCACAGTTTGTTTCGTTCAGCGTCACGTTTCGAGCCGTGGAAATGTCGCCACAATAACAGGCCGGATGTGTAAAACGCTGACATATTTGAAAGATTCTATGCCGCAAACTGAATATTTCACATACTTTTGAAAATCCAGTGTTTACTTGATCGTGATAAGCGCTCGTCATCACAGTTGTAAACACGACGGCTTTCTTCTTTCGTGAGGGGTTTTGGCATCACGGCATCTTTGTTTCCAGGCGGAACGTTATAGAAAGCGACACACACGTCTCCCGGAAATCCTGTATAATTCAACCAATCCGATGACGACTTCGAAACTCCTTAAGTGTTTCCACTTTTGTGTGCCGTATGCATCAGACGGTCAGCCAGCGGTCAGTGGGCGTAACATCCGAGGCTGAGACTACTACACTGGGGCGTTAGGACCCACACAGACCACAGGGTGAGCACCCCCTGCTGGCCTCCCTGATACCTCTTCCAACGGCAACCTAGATTTCCCAGGAGGTCTCCCATCCAGGTACAACCCTGCTTAGCTTCAGTGGGCAACCTGTCTTGGGCTGCAGGTTGATATGGCTGTGGCATATTTCTTTAAAGAATGACAAAAGATTATTAAAAACAATGATTTAAGATGTACTTTACAACTTTTAATTTGACTTTATTACAAAGTGCACTTTTAAAAGTGTACTTAAGTGTGTACTTAGCTGTACTCTAAAGTGGTGTTTTATTTAATTAATATTATATTATCAGCAAGTAGAGTTCTTTAAAAAATATACTTAAAAGATCTGAAGTACACCACAATTCACATTCTATACAATTAAGCGCACTTCTTTTTCACAACTGTAGTAATAGTGAAAGTAGCTAATAGCTTTATGCACTGTTTCTATAGTTCTAACTTTTTAATCTAAATGAGGAGGCACAGATGAGTGTCTTCAGCAGTTTTATAATCTGTGTGTGTCTGTGATGGAGCATCTGCTCTCATCGTTGGATCAGCTTTCTCTGTCCTGAGCTGATCTGAAGTGACGCAGGTGCGGTTTTCTTTTAGGTAGGCTGGAGTCCAGATGCGGCCAACTGTACTCGTGTGAATCACAGTCCTCAGCACTCTGTTACACCGAGCTGTGATCACTGTGAGCTGATAATGACTAGTTCATCAGATTTAGCCAGTGTATTTTTTTTTGTGCTTTTATTGCTAAAAGCAGAGATGGAGGATGTTTATGCTATTGTTGTTTCCATGTTGGCTTTTATGCGCTTGTTTAGTTTTGAGAAGTCATTTAAACATCACTTGGGAAATCTCTGAAAACGAACTGAAATTTCATAGGGGGGCTACTAATATTGTCTTCAATTATATATATATATATATATATATATATATATATATATATATATATATATATATATATATATATATATATTGTATACACTTATTTTGTGTTGAACAACATAGGAAAAATGTAACGTAGGAAAAATATGTATATGAAATGTGTAATTACAAATATGTTTAAATACATGACATACAAGTTTTATCACTACTTCAATTATGAAATTACATATAAAGTTGTAATATTTAGGTAAAAAAGCACTGTTAGGTTCAACTAATTACATTTAATATACATTTAAACTATAATTATAATAATTTAATTATAAATAACATGCAAATAAGCATCTGAAAACATATTCAGCCTACACTTAGAAATACATATTTCCATAATAAACACTAATAATATGCTAAAATGCACTTTTGGAATTTATTTTATTTTTTATTTTTTCACAAGGGTAGCAGTGTTTGGGAATCCTATCTGGATGCTATCATTTATTTGTGCAGTTCCATTTTGTGCCACTAGTTTTCACCTTTGATTACTGATTTTCTCAGGAGGGCCTGAGGTTAATGCAGGAGAAGCCGGAGCTGAGCGAGCTGGTGAAGAAGAAGCTGGAGGAGATCCGTGAGTGCTGGCAGGATCTGGAGAGCACCACACAAGCCAAAGCCCGGCAGCTGTTCGAGGCCAACCGGGCCGACCTGCTGGTACAGAGCTACTCCAGCCTGGACCAGCGACTCGAGCAGCTTGAGGGACACCTGGCACACGTGGACTACGGCCAGGACCTGACCACAGTCAACAAGCAGCTGAAGAAACTACAGGTCTTTACTCTCATTTCACAGACACATGTATCAGCAGCTTTCAGCCTCACACGTTTTGTGCATCAACAAGATGATGTTTCCTCCAGATCTTGCTTTTATTTTTGATCTGTTAGATTGCTGGTTTCCAACATGCCTTTAATTTGCTCTTTATTTCTTTCCTGCGCTGAAGACTTTTATTTTATTTTCCACTGCTGCATTTACTGGTAATATGAGCCTCATCACTGTCCACCGTATGAGTGTGATTCATGTCGCTGGTGTGGCTCTCCTCTCTGACAGCATGCCATGGCTCTCAGCTGATCTGAGTTCAGTTTCAGCTCTGTCCCCACGTCACTCCACCCTCATCACCATCAGCGGTATTGTAGCATCTTCATTTCGCTTTCTTGATTTGCACACACCCTCTCTCTTTCTTTCAATTTGCTTCTACATTCTTTAAATTCCCATCAGTCTTCACCAGAATATATTTCATGTGTGCATCATAGATAGCGGTCAATGCAGAATGACCAGTCCTATGAAGCGCCTGTGTTTGTGTGTGTGTGTGTATGGGAGTGTGTGGTTTTTATTGTGTTTTATTTCCTGTCCTTTTATACATCAGCATATTTCAAACATTTTGTCTTCAGTAGCATTTACTGTAATTCAAAATTTAAGCTCTCTAAAATATTTTTTAAATATGTTTTTAGGTATGCCAGTCAAAATGAAACATTTCAAGTAGTAATTCTGATTCTAGATTCTTTTTAAGGTTCATTTGAATTTTTTGTAATAGTAGGAATAATATGCAGTTATTAATAATAATGCAGTACATGAAGTCTCTTCTAGTTTGACGTTAACTGTGTTTAAAGGGTTAGTTCACCCAAAAATGAAAATTCTGTCGTTAATTACTCCCCCTCATGTCGTTTCAAACCCGTAAGACCTTCGTTCATCTTCGGAACACAAATTAAGATATTTTTGATGGAATCTGAGAACTGTCTGACCCTGCATAGACAGCAACACAACTGAAATGTTGTCCCAAGTCCAGAAACGTAGCAAGGAGATCTGTAAAATAATCCTTGTGACATCAGTGGTTCATCTGCAATTATACAAAGCTACGAGAATACTTTTTGTGCGCAAAAGAAAAAAAAAAACTTTATTCAACAATTCGTCTCCTCCGCATCACCCTGTAGCGCCATTTTGGAGAATATCCGCTGGTAGTAAACAGCATATGCTGTTCTGTGTCAGCTGCGTCACACGGATACAGTCAATGAATTGCTGCGTCTCATTTCAGAATGAAAATAGCAATGGTGTGTTTGTAATAGTAGGTCACAGGTTTGAATCCCATTACTGTAGCCCTTGATATATGAGTTTGGATTGGTCATTTACTCTGGTTCACTTCACTGTCTTAATTTATGTAACATCTGACCCGAATGGGTTATGGCATGTGGATCTTTTTTTACACTACCCATTCAAAAGTTTGGGTTTGGTATTTAGGCTGCATTTATTTGATCAAAAATACAGTAAAAACAGTAATATTGTGAAATATTATTACAATTTAAAATAGCTGTTTTCTATTTTTAATATATTTAAAAATTTTGTTAACTTTAAAAAAATGTTCCTGTGATCAAAGTTGAATTTTGAGCATCATTAGTCTTCAGTCTTCAGTGTCACATGATCAGAAATCATTAATAATATGCCGATTTGCTGTTAAAGAAACATTTATTATTATTATTATTATTATTATCAATGTTGAAATAGTTGTGCTGTTTAATATTTTTGAAACTGTAATGCTTTATTCTCAAGATTATTTGATGAATGTAACGCTCAGTAGAACAGCATTTATTTGAAATTATGTCTTCATAAATGTCTTTACGGTACGGTGGCCGAGAAGTGCAAAGCAAATCACAATTCTGAAAACAAAATAACAAATTACAAACGCAAATGCAAGTCTAAAAAACAAAATAACAATTCAGAAAGCACAACAACAATTCAGAAAACATTATAACAAGTCAGAAAACACAATGAAAAATTCGAAAACAAAATAACAATCAGAAAACACAATGACAAATCAGACAAACCGGAAAAGGTAGGTATAGTTTGAGACAGCGCCATTGGTTTGGGATTACTCACCGCTGACTGGACGAGACATCTGTCAATCAAAAAATACGGGGGGTTTATTTACATTTAGTTAAAAGTGGCTGTAAATCATCAGCTCCTGTGGTGCAGATGGATAAGCGCTTGACGTTGGCTTTTTGACGCGATCGACCCGGGTTCTATCCCACCTTTTGACAAACTTTTTTTTCTCCCTTTTCAAATCTCATATCACATCGTAAAGGCATTTATTTTCAATAAAAATTAAGGAAATAATCAAAAAGTTGAAAATAAACTATCGGGTAGGGTTAGGGTAGGTGTAGGGAGGGCTTTATTGTACCAATAAGGTGGCATCCATTTAATAATTAAAATTATAATTTACACTCAATATGTTATTATTGCATACTGTTTTATAATGTACTGCAATACTGAAGTGCAGATAATTGCCACTATTTGCAACAAGTAGTATACTTGATAGTAGAAATCCTGCTATTTTAACAGTGTAAATAGGTATTTGCACTTAGTGTAAATATAATCCATTGCTAATACGAGATTTGAAAAGGGAGGAAAAAAAAGTTTGGCAAAAGGTGGGATCGAACCTTTGTCGATCACATCAAAAAGCCAAGGGCAAGCACTCATCCATCTGCACCACAGGAGCTGATGATTTACAGCCACTTTTAACTAAATGTAAATAAACACCCTGTATACGTTGATTGACAGATGTCTCGTCCAGTCAGCGGTGAGTAATCCCAAACCAATGGCGCTGTCTCAAACTATACCTACCTCTTCCGGTTTGTCTGATTTGTCGTTGTGTTTTCTGATTGTTATTTTGTTTTCAAATTTGTCATTGTGTTTTCTGACTTGTTATAATGTTTTCTGAATTGTTGTTGTGCTTTCTGAATTGTTATTTTGTTTTTTAGACTTGCATTTGCGTTTGTAAGTTGTTCTTTTGTTTTCAGAATTGTGATCTGCTTTGCACTTCACGGCCACCGTACTACGGTCACTTTCAATAAATGTAATGCATCCTTGCTGAAGTATTAATTTCTTTCTGACACCAAACCTTTGAATGTTAGTGTATGTCCTGATATCTTTGCTATCAAACCTAGTGTAATTTGCCATTTTTAAGGAATCAAGCTTTTTACAAGCACATTTTAACATTGATGAGTGTTTTCTTTGGAAGTTTGAAAGGTTTATGATGATGTCATAACTCACTTCCTGTCTCCTTTGGTCTTTTTGGTGTTCTTCCTCTCCTCTTTCCCACTATCTATACTGTCGACATTTTTAAATGTGCTCCTCTGTGCTGAACTTTGTATCTCTCCCACCTTCTCTCTTTGACATCCACTTCATTCTCCTGTCCGTCCTTCCTGTTCCACACTTCAAACAACCTCTTCATTGATGTTCTTTTGCTCATTCATCATGTTCACTCCACCTTCACCTCTAACAGACGATGGAGTGTCAGATGGAGGAGTGGTATAAAGAGGTTGGAGAGCTGCAGGCCCAGGCGGCCTCCATCCCTCAGAAGGGGCAGGTGATGGAAAAGGTGTCTGAGAGACAAGCCGGGGTGGAAACGCGAATTGTACGACTGATTGAGCCTCTGAAAGAGAGACGTCGTATCCTGCTGGCCTCTAAAGAAGTGCACCAAGTGGGCCGTGACCTTGAGGATGAAATTGTGAGTTTAGCAACCTCATTATAACTATTAGCTCTAATACATTTTGAAATGTGCAACATGTTGTGAATGTGTTTGTCTGCAGTTGTGGATACAAGAGCGTCTTCCAGTGGCCACTTCTCAGGAACATGGCACAAGTTTACAAGCTGTACAGCAACTCATGAAGAAGAATCAAGTAAGACAGCATCAAAAAAACTCTACTGAACAGAACTCTCAAGGCTCTGTTTCTCATGGTCATCTCCTCTTAGAGTCTGCAGAGAGAGCTTCAAGGTCATCGTGGGCGTGTGGAGGATGTTCTGGAGAGAGCAGGGGTGATCGCGTCCATCCGCAGTCCGGAGGCAGACAGCATCAGGGCTGGCATGGAGCAGCTCCATCAGCTGTGGGAGGCGCTGTGGACCGAGACCGAGCACCGGCAGCTCCGGCTGGATGTCATGTACCAGGCGCAGCAGTACTACTTTGATGCGGGAGAGGTGGAGGCCTGGCTCAGCGAGCAGGAACTGCACATGATGAATGAAGAGACGGGAAAGGTAGGAGAAGAGAACAGACAGGTCATGTGGGGGTGGGAAACACCTAACAGCCATACCGGGGTGATAAGTATTGGGTAAAATATTGTTTAAATAAAACAGTATCAAATAAACAAAATGTTAGCTTTCTGGCTCGTATATATACACACACATACATTATGTACATTATATATGGTACATAAAGTACATACATCTAAAAAATTTTAAAATGTATGTTTATGCATTTTGCAGATGCTGTTATCCAAAGTGACTTACAATAGAGGAACATAAACAATTCATCACAGAGTCAAAAATATTCTCATAATAAACAGTGCTAGTTTTATTAGAAAGCTAGGAAACAAGTAAGAGCAGCGGTGTCAAACTCAATTCCTGGAGGGCCGGAGCCCTGCAGAGTTTTGTTGCAACCCTGCTCCAACACCCATACCATGTAGCTTTCAAATAAGCTTGAAGGACTTGATTAGTTGGATCAGGTGTGTTTAATTAGGGTTGAATCTAAACTCTGCAGGGCTCTGGCCCTCCAGGAATTGAGCTTGACACCCCTGTTATAGATGATGACATTGGAGCAGTGTGTATCTGAGCTGTGTCCTCTCTCACTTAAGGATGAAGCCAGTACTCTGCAGCTGCTGAAGAAACAGCTGGTGCTAGAGCAGACCATAGAGGACTATGCTGAGACCATCGGAATGCTTTCTCAGCAGTGCAGACAGCTGCTGGAGCTCGGACATCCAGACTGGTAAATGAGCAGCAGTACTTACTGACCCAATCAAGCATACAAACACACAACAATCTTTTGCTTATCTAGTTTCACTTTTGTGCCATCACAGATGTCATTCTTTGTACTCCAGTGATAACACCTTTCAAGATTTTTTTTCCTTTGAATGAAATCTATGTGTGTTTGTGTGCTTGTGCCTCAGTGAGCAGATCAGTAAGCATCAGTCTCAGATCGACAGGCTGTACGTGTCTCTGAAGGACCTGGTGGAGGAGAGGAAGTCTCGTCTGGAGCAGCAGTACTGGCTCTATCAGCTCAACAGGGAGGTGGATGAACTTGAGCAGTGGATAGCAGAGAGGGAGGTCATCGCCAGCTCCACTGAACTCGGACAGGACTTCGAGCATGTCACGGTCAGTTGCTTCAGCTATTTCATATTTATCTGCCCCTAAACATGATCAGCTGTAGCTCTTGTAATTCTTCCATTTCTTAACACTCAAATCCTGATCCTGCAGATTCTGCAGGAGAAATTCACAGAGTTTGCATCGGAGACTGGGAGCCTGGGGCAGGAGAGGGTCACAGCTGTCAACCAGATGGTTGATGAGCTCATAGATTACGGGCATGGGGATGCAGCCACCATCGCTGAATGGAAGGATGGGGTGAACGAGGCCTGGGCGGATCTGCTGGAGCTGATGGAGACGCGAGGACAGATGCTTGCTGCTTCACACCAGTTACACAAGTTCTTCTCTGACTGCCAAGAGGTATGAAGGAGGAAATGCAGGACATGTGATTAATTAAGTCGTCTTAACTGAGTGCTTTGCCAAGGCCATCATTATTATAACTAGTACTTATACTTAACTATCACTGTCACTATTGCTCATGGG